TGAACGCATACCCCGGATGTTCCTGAAAGAGAGGGAAATAAAAGAAATTTCTGATTAGCAATCGTTTCCAAAACGCACTGAAGAAACGCCCTTAAGAAACGCTTGCGTCTCAAGAAATGCTCCCATGGCCCAAAACCGCACCTCAAAATTGTACACACACTTTTTTGCTAAGCCCCAATGGGGCTATGTCAAAGTTTTCTTGACAAAAAAAGAAAAAATTCCAAATAAAAAATGAAACAAATGCAGCTTTTTTGTGTCAAGGCAAAAATCGGCGCTGTGCACAGTTTGAGAGCCACTGAAAAGAAGCATTGGGTTGGGTTGAGGCTTTTGGGAGCTTGGGGGTTGGGTGTTCTTTTGATCTAAAGCCGCCATTGAAGGCAAGGCGTATTAATTAAGTATTTAGTTGGGCCTTAACCCTAGTAAGGCTTTGCAACGCATTCGAAATCAATATCAGAGAAAGACTAAGTACCCGTCTTTCAGTGGGATGTTTCCGCTGATATTTATAGAAAAAGTCAAAATTTGAATACAAATTGTAATCATATCAGTGCGCTAATTACTGTGTCTAAGCGCAAGTGGCTTTCAAAGAATCTTAAATGACATTTTAGATTGTTATTTATGGGCAGCTCACCACGCATTAACCCCATAAAGCCAGCAACTAAATAACCAAAAAATTTACATAAATTCAATTAATATAAAAATGTAGAGCATTCGTTGTCATTTCGGACAAGTCGCTGTGTGTTTCTCTCTGAGTGTGTCTCTCTGTGTTTTCCCCTTCTTTTTTGGCACCTTTTGGTTTTTAAGGCAAATTGCAAAAGTTTTTCGCATGCTTTGGCGCTGGCTTCAATTAAGCGCAGACGTCCATAAATGGCCACGCACAAAACGCATACAAATGCAGCGCGCGGTTTCTACCGCTGGTGGTGCCTGCTGGTCGCTGGTGCTGCTGTTGCTGCTGCTGCTGCTGCTGCTGTTGCTGCTGCTGTTGCTGCTGCAGTTGTTCGCTGCCTATCAATTTTAACTCTCTGGCCGCTGTCGCTGTCCGGACAAAACAAATGATTACAAGCGAGTGTAACCTGAGCAGTCAGTCAGCTGTATATACGCATAGATACTATATATGTATAGATATATATATATATAACGTTTTTAATAAGAGTTGCATAAGTCAGAGCAGCGGGGCCACCCAGGAGATCATTGAGAGTAGCCCGCACTGTAGTCCCACTCCCCAGTTGGTGGTCAATTGCCCGCTTTATGTGCGCGATTTTGTGGGTGCGTGTGAACTCTAACTCATAAATTTATGAAATATATGTATATATGGGTGAGCAATTTATGATTTGTCCGACTGGGCGTATGCGCAATATCGCTCCACAATTACATGCAAATTACGCATACGCAGCGTTGTCAACATTTTGACAACAAATCGCACGACAGATCGTGGGAGCAACAGGTAACAGGCAAATCAAAAATAAATTTCTGACAATCCCGACAGTTCCAAAGGCGTTTACCCCATCGACGGGACAGACAGACAGCATGGAAAACATTTTAGCATTTTTTGTTGAAAACGAAAACGCACCTTGTCACAGCCTGAACAGTTACAAAAGAAAAGAATTCAATCTTGCCACGGGGCCTCCTTTCGCTTCGGTGCTGGGACGGAGATCGAGATCGTAGGTGCAGCAGGCCTTATATGGCGCCCCCGGGCTGTCGAATCGACCGATCGTGTGTGCACGCAAAACGCATTTTCGGCTACCGCCCCACCTGTCCTCTGTCCCTCCCGAGAAAAGACAATACAGTCGGGGGCCAGGCCGGCCAACAAGTTGATTTATGTGGGCGGCATCGAGAGAGATATTGAACATTTCGTACGAGTGTAGTCGCATGGAACAACATTCACTTTCAATGGCGGAAAATGCGTTTTCCATGATCCAAAGATTATCAAAGGTATTTATGGATCGCTTTTGATGTATTAATCGCTGCCTGAGTTTGTTCGTCCGGTCCATTTTCCGATAGATTGATCAAATATTTAATTAACTGTGAGCTGTCATGATTTATTTGATTAAAAAGTCGTTAGGCGATCATTTTTGTTGATTGATAGAGTGGAATGAAGCAAATATTTAGGAAAGTACGATTGTGCGATTTATGGGAATGGCAATTGGGTATTTTTTTTTTTTGTTAAGCTTCAGTTTAAAAACTTGAATTTGGGACTTATGGTAATTCTCTCCGTATTTCTCGTAAATAGCTTCCCACAATCAAAGAAAAATTATTTATTTTTTGCACTCTTCTTCCGATTTTGACCCATAGTACCTCTGGACATGAATAGATATTCAGTGTGCTCAATCGATACACATACACAATATTTCCTTGGGGGCTGCTTTGCTGCGGTTCACTTACATATTGCGGGGCATACTCCATGGTTTCATCATCGTCGTCGGCTACCACAACAGGTGCCCCGCCCCGAATTGCGTCCACGGGAGCAGGACGTGTCCCCAGGCAGGCCAGGGCCAGCAGCAGGAGGAGGGCCCGCAGCAGGGGTGGCAGGTGGCTTGTTATCTGCAAAAAGGCATTTAAGCGAAATATGAATGCGTTTTATCAGTCGAGCGCTTAATAAACGAAGCGATAAAACGAGTTAAGCAAACACACCAAACAGTTAATAAATTGCCTACAAAATTATTACGCGAGCTTGTCCCGGCACGGCACGGCCCGGCCCGGCCCGGCCCAGCCCAAAAGAAAATCTAAGGGGGAAACGGGGAGCAGCCAAAAAAAAAGGAGGCACAAAAATTAATTGGACAACGAACGGAACGGATCGGAGCCCCCAGTCGAAGCAGCAGTCCCAGAGAAACCACATCCCAGAGCATGTCATACAGCGTTGTGACAGTTGTCAAATGGTAATGGCAAAATACACCTTGCTGTCCAAAATTAGGCAGACAGATAGACACCAAGGCACATTTGTACCGCGCATATGACAGCAAATGCCTGTCTGGGGCCCCGGTGAAAAACTTTTGGAGATTGATGGCTTTGCTTAAGACCAGTAGCCCCGCTCTGCTCTGATCTGCTCCGTTCCGTACCAGTACCAGTACCGTATCGTTCCGAGCCTCTCCGGACCGTCCCTCTTAGACAGTTGGACAGTGGTCCAGTCTCGATTTCGAGATGGAAACGGGTCTGGCAGGATGGCGACCATTTGCACCGTACAATTCAATTTTCCCAATTCCAATTGCAATTGCCTTGCCTTGCATTTTTTTTTCTCTTTTGCAAATTGCAAAATATTTTTTTGGACATTTTCGATTTGATTTGATTTGATTTTCGGTTGCGAGAGCAGTCATCGATCGGATCGCCCCAGTCTCGATTGGCATGTGTCTCGCTCTGCTCTGCTTTCAGGGGGAGTTGATTGGAGATTTTGCCACTGACTCGGTTTAATTAGCACACTGAGAGAGCCCCCCAGACAAGTGCTCATATGTTTGGAATGGCATGTCGAGTATTTCGATTAAAATGCGGATTTACAAATAATGTGGAATCCATTTTGGCATAGCAAAACGACCGAAAACCATGAAGGTCTCATAGTCTCTTTTTGGTTAAAGCCAGGAACATGCCACATCCTCTAAATCAAGGTTGAGTCTTCATTCATCAATATAGAAATTGAAAAATATTTAAAAAATTTTAAACGAATTCCCAAATTGTTCTTATATTTTTTGTTTCACTTCTGTTCTGGGAAATGTTTCAATGTACTGCTAATGGCTTCTTCTTTGCATTATTGTTTTTTATTTGTATGCATTTGCATTCGTGGACATTTGCACGACTTTCACTCAAAAGTGAAAGTTTTCGTTTGCTTAACTTTCGCTTAACGAAAAAAAAAGGTCAACAAATATTATTGTTTAACAGCAATGCAACCATTCCTTAAAATATTGTTTAACCCACACTTACATAAAGTTTCATTTTACTCAACAATTTCCTCAATTTGTATATTATTTTAGAAAACACTTGCACAAAACACTGGATGTTTAAAAACGCTAGGAAAACGCGCTGCAGTCGCTCCACTGCTGTGGCTGCTGCTGTTCCTCGTCGTGGTCTCAATGTCAAGGACAAAACCGTAATTAAAGCGTTTGCGCGGCATTGCAAAAGTATTTATAGATGGAGACGAAGTCAGGACCGGCACAAAATCTTCGGTTTCGTTTTCCCGGCGACACGATTTTCCGGCTTCACCGGTTCCACTTCCAACCTGCCACAGACAGACGCGCAACCAACTGCGATGAGCCGCAGCGGCAACCGAAGCCGCATCCACAGCAGCTGCAGATGCTGCTGGTGGTGTGGGTCGGCTTTGTCGCTTCCTAAGCCCAGTCTAATTGACAATTATATGAAGCTCTCTGAAGCTCTCCGCACGGAAACCCGTTTCGCTATCACCGCTAGCTCCCTGACTGGACGGCCGCCCGGCTTCCATTTCATTTCATTCCGTGCCACACCACACCAATTTTGGCCATCTCAACTTTTGGTTTCAGCCGCAAGTAAAAGTCGCCGTTGCTGTGGCTGTGGCTGTTGCCGTTGCCGTTGCCGTTACCACGTTGTCGTCGTCAACGCTTCGCTGCAGCTGTCTAATGGCATTATAAAATTTATATCTGCCAGCATTACGTTTCGACTTTACATAAATTAATGGCGATTTGCTCTGCGAATGTGTCTGCTCTGCCTGTTAATCCTAGTTATCCGTATTAAAATCAAGTCGGAGCGACTATAACATAGCATTTGATCAATGGTGGGGGCTTTGCCAAAGCATGGGGAAATTTTCCCAGGGGGACTAAAACATGGCCGGATTATTGGCTTATCATGGAGAGATTTCCTTAAGATTTTGGTATTTTAAGTCATTTTCTGATAGTTTGGAATGCCATTTTTCTGGTCCAACTGTATGTTTCGATTATTAAAAGATTTGCTTACATATGTATATATAAAAATACTGTGTTTAAAAAAAGACTTGTTCTTGGTCAGATAAATATGTTCCGTATCTCTTTCGTGTATCAGGACGGCAATCAGTGCAGTTGCTTCACGCTCACATAGCTGCTGGCATGGCCGTGTCCGCCGTGTCCATAGCCGCCGTAATGCGCCACATCATGGCCGTAGCCGTAGTCCGCTCCATAGATGTCGCCGTGTCCGTAGCCCTTCTGGTACACCTGAGGATGATGTGCGTGGCCCAGCTTCTTGACAACTGCGTTGAAGCCATTGTGATCGTCGGCTGTGTACTCCACCACGCGGGTGGTGCCATCGGCCTCCTTCAAGGAGTAGCTGCCCTTGACCTTGTCGCCATCGCGCGTCTCCCACTGGCTCTTCTGGTCGCCGGTGTGGGCATCCTTGACTCCATAGTCGAACTGATATTTCGGATAGTGATGCGGCTCGTGTTTTTCGTATCCGGAATACCCATGACTGGGATATCCATGCCCGTAGACACCTCCATACGCACTGGTCAGGTCGTGATCGTAGCCATAGCCGTAGCCGTATCCAGAACCCTTGTGCACCGGCCCCTCGTGCTTGGTCAGCACACTGTAGCTGGTCGCGTGTCCTCCATGGGGAGCTGCTAGACTTCCAGCCACAAACAGGCCCAACAACAGACCACAGCAGAAATAATTCATTTTGATCGTTGTTTGTCGATGGAACCTTTGATGAGGTCTGCTGGTTCTTGGTGGGCCCTCTGCTGGTTTTTATAGCCCCATGCTCTGGTCAGAAACCATTGGAAACCATCGGGTGGTCATACTCTTGGTTAAGCCATTCACCATTCGTGTTGGCAAATTTATTAATTACTTTGCTAATTCATAATTACTATAGAAAATCTAATAAATTGCATATTAGAGTAGAGCCGTTTCAAATAAATTGAAGTTGAAAAGAACTGTCAGAAGCAAATATGTTCGTTACTGTTGGATTCATTTGTCGTAGTAATACATAGACCAATTGTGGCCATAGGATGAATCAATTTAAAGACAATTATGATTTTGATATTAAAATACGTTCTATATTTGGTTCTCACAGATTCCTTCTAACAGACAGTAGTTTAAAATGATTCGAGTGTTGATTCCGATGAGGAATTGACAGGGGTACATGGAATTCTAGAAGTTCTAAGAAAACGATCCCATTCCAAAATGTGGTAACTATGACCCTCGCATAGTCATTGTTAATTATAAATATTTAGAAAACATTAACCACCATTTACTACGTTAACGCCAATTCGGAAGCATTGGACCCCCCAGACCGATCCACCGACTGCTCTACTCGATTGTCGGCCAGTCCGCCCTTCTCTGCCACACACCCTCCCCCCCGGTCGGTTGGCTGTCTCAAGGTCATGCGGAGTGAAGTTGATGTGGCAGCAGCAGTCGCAGCCGCAGCCGCAGCCGCAGCAGCAACCAAAGAAACGCAACGAGGCGAGGCGAGGTGAGGCCTGGCTTAATACTAATTTGAAAGCGGGCCACACTTGTTGATTGATTTCTAGGCAGCAACAAAAACAAAAACAACAACAGCAACAAGCATTGCGTTTTTTTATAGTTGGGCGATGTTCACGCCCCGTTTATGGTTGTTGTTGCTGAATGAGCCACATTTAATTTGCCAATCGCCCAGATTATGAATACGAATGAGGAAAAATGAAAATTTGCACAAATATTCGAGGCATTTTTCGAACCAATTTTTTCGGGGCTCTTACTTTTTTCTAGCCTATTTAGCCTCGAGAGTAAAATGTAATTAATCGACGGATAGAATGGGCCAAACTAAGTATAAAAGCATTGGGCAGTGTATGTTGGGCATCACAGTTCCAATTGCGATCTGGGCCAAGCAAGTCAGTGAATCAGTCAAAAGAAATCAGGACATCGAAAATATGGCTCAAAAGCTAACGATCCTCTGCTGTGCCCTGCTGGGAGTAACCGCTGCCAGCTATATTCCCCATGGCGGCTATGAGCACGGCCATGCAGTTGGATACAGTATTCAGACGCACCATGAGGCGCCCAAGAAGAAGTGGGACGATCATCAGGAGCACCATCAATGGGCGCCGGCTCCACAGCACAGCCACCACTGGGAGGCAGCTCCTCAGCACAGCCAGCACCAATGGGCAGTTCCGCAGGCGCACCATCAGTGGGCCGCTGCAGAGCCACAGGAGCACCAGAAATGGACATCCCACCACGCGGAGGAGCCGAAGCACCATCCAAAGTACCAATTCGATTATGGAGTCAAGGACACCAAGACCGGAGATATCAAGCAGCAGTGGGAGACCCGCGATGGTGATAAGGTCAAGGGAGGTTACACCATGAAGGAAGCCGATGGCCGCACCCGCGTCGTCGAGTACACGGCCGATGCCCACAACGGATTCCAGGCCACAGTCAAGCACCTTGGCCATGCCGACCATTTCGAGCACAAGCAGCAGGATCATGGCTATGCCCACGGATATGGTCATGCTACCAGCTATGTTGATGTCAAGCAGGACACCAGCAGCAAGTGGCAGGACAAGAGCAGCAAGTGGTGGTAACTGGTAGCAGAACTGACTGAGCAAAGCGAAAGAACTGATGATTCCGACTAACAAATTATTGTAAATATTGACAAAATTATGAACTTTAGTTAAATAAATAGAAGCAAAGTGCAGAAAGTGCGATAAAATATGAGAAGGTTGTATAGCTTTACCCATCGACTGTGTGTTTTGGAATTTTTAGCAGTCATACGCTACAAACAGAATATCTTCTTTTTTTCTAAATAAAAGACACAATAAATGGCACAGTAGCGTTTTGCAGCATTTGGTTAATTTTCGAAAAGTTTCTTGCGCTTGCAGTTGGAAATGTAATGTAATTTAAATGTAACTGTAGAAATTATCTACATTTTCGCTGGCGCGGTGCAGCGCTCACTATTGGAACTACATATTTTACATGCAATTTTCTACGTGAACTGCTTGCTTGCACTATGTCGCTTTTGTTTTAAAGCAGTTGAAAGCAGTTCAAATTCGAAAACTTCCGCCAAGCATAGAATTTTAATTATTGTTATTTAAGAGCAGCGGATTCCACGTCCAATTTCCACTGCTGCAGGATGGGCTGGGCCAAATGGTGGCGATCCACCTCCTGACGGATGCGCTTGTAGGGAAGATCTATGGAGGCATACACGGAACCATCCCACTTGGCAGTGAACTCGCTGAGCACATAGGGTCGTCGGCGATGGATGGTCCACTTCTCCTTCAGGATGGTGAGCTCACTTAGCAAGGAGTCGTAGATCTGTCCTTGCTTGGACTGGTGCTCCAATTGGTTATCGATCTATGTGCTGCGTCTAGGAACTGCAGCATCTTGCGGCAACTGCCAGTGCTACTTCACGCATTATTTTAAATTCTTTAAACTACCCAAAAGTAAACTACTACCAGAAGGTCTCTCCTCTATCATTGTGAATCCCAGTTGACAGTATTTCCCACTAGCATTGATGCAATGCTGCATGAAAACCAAAAAATCTGACACTCGTCATATAAATTCATCAATTAAACATTAATTTATGCTGTGAAGCAAAGTTTTGCGGTCACATAAATCTGCGAGTCTTGTTTGTTGTCCCCGACCCACCCCCCAAAACCGCAACGATTGCTGATTCTGACCTCAGGACGAGAACCCCAAAATGATTGAAGCCGCCTCGAAGGGAAAATTCCATTTCCAATGCTCGGAGGATAAGACTGCCACCAAAACGTAAATGATGTTGAAACATTTATTGGTTACAGAGAGAACATTTCCAAGCCGCGCGATAAGCGACAAACTGTTGACAGTTGGGATTCGGTTCTGCAAGGGATATGCTCGTTCGAATTTATTTGCCCAGCTAGCAATTGGGTGTACGAGTGTGTGGAAAATATAGAGGAGGGGAAATCCTTTGCCTTTGGCTCATAATTTGCAGCTTCTCCACACACTTTCGGCCAGGCCAGGTCATTTTGGCCCGTCTCTACCTCGTGCCGCTCCTTCTTTTTATGGTTTTCATTAAAAATGCAAATGAGCAGTGGAGATTGCAATCGTGGCGGTTGCCAGGCGACCAGGTGAGGTCAGAAAAAGAGCAGACACAGTGAAATTTATGCCAGGGGTTCAGATTCTGAAATTTATTGTAGCCACTCAGGTGCGAGCATATCGAATATTATGTGAAGTTGGTGCTGCAAGTAACTTATATTTTATGGGCCACAGCTTTAACTGTATTTAACGAAACTTAGAGTCCGCCACTGGATCTATTATTTTTGCAAGTGTATCTCAATTGAATAGTTTATGGAATATACAGTATTCCACCTCTTCAACATTTGTGTTGCCACCAATTGTTGCGGGGCCAAAGCCGTTCGCCAGACACAGAGACCAGACCCAAAAAAAGAGAGCAACAGCTACAGAGAAGCAGATAAATGGAGACAGTACAAAAGCAACAGAGAAAGAGAAACAGAGAACTGCAGAGGAGAAAAGCAGCTCGAAAGCTGAATTAAATCGTCGAAAGTTCAAAATGAATGAAAGCAGCGAGCGACGAATAAATGAATGAAACGAAATGAATCCCAAAGGGGTGAACTGAATGCAGCGGGGATTGGGGCGGCTGCTGTAGTTGAAAAGAGCAGTGGTCCCCTTTCCTATCAACTTGTTCTCCTGATGCTGATGCTGGTGCTGGTCCTTCTGTCTTGTTGTTATGACAGGCGGAGTTTAAGGAGGAGCCGTGCAAAGTTTCGCTTGATTTCGGTGCCGCTCAAAGTATAATAATGTAACCCAACGACCCCTGCTAGCCTCCAGCCTCTGCTGCTCAGAGTGTGGATGTGGGGCTTGGGGCTTGGGGTGTGGGGCGTGGTCAGGGCCGGGGTAAAGTGCACGGCGGCTTGTGCTGCTTCAAGTGCACACTTTCTCATGGCTTAGCACTTTGCTGCATGCCTCGTTGGCTTTTGTAGGGTGACGGCGGAGGCGGAGGCTGAGCCGAGCCTAGCCGAGCCTTGGGATAGGACAGTGAGAGTGGGAGAGTGGGAGTGGGAGTGCAAGGGCGAGGAACAGGATGAGGCTTATGCAACAAATAATTTAATTTTATGCTGCATACAAACCGACAACCGGCAAACGGCAAACGAATGAACGAGCGAACGAACGACAACGGAAATGCCACTTTACGGCCTGTTTGACGGAAAAGTGGACGTTAAGTTGTGAATATGATGATGGAGATGGAGACGGGGCCAGTTGATGATGATGGGCATGGCCGATGATGGCTGGGCGAGCAACTGGCAAGGCAACTGAAATATTGCGCATACGCCCCCGTGGGACTACAGGACAGCGAGGGCGAAGGCGAGGGCACACAAATGGCATTGAGGTCAAGCTATAAACTGGCCTAAATGTCATATCAACTGGAGATGTGCTCTATGGCACTTGAGCGGCATCAAAACGAAGGATTAGGATATAAAAATGTTGCCTTTTATGCCTCTTGGGGTTGATTATCATATGAATATCATAATTGGATGAATATATGAGTATTTCAGTACCCCTGAGAAGCTGCGCTGTATAAACTGTCGGAATAAACATGTTTGAACGTAAATTAAAAACTACACAGCATATTTCCACTCGCTTTCTCTTTCAACAGATGCACGAAAGAATAAAGCTCATATATACGTTAAGTCTGACCTTCTTATTGTGAAGCCATCCCTCTCCCCGACAGACTATCCATGATTTCATGCCCTTTTGGTCAGCAGACAAATGCCTACGTCAGACGGAAGCAATCAAATAGTTGAAGCGCAAAATATAAAACATAAAATATGATTAACATATCAAAGCCAACAACAAAATTCTGCCAACGCAGACACAAAAAAAGCCCATACATGATTGGGGGCGTCTAAAAAAAAAGGAAAAAGGAGGGAAAACAAAGGATAACGAAGCATGGAATTTGGGTTTGGCAAACCAAAAGTGACCGCCTCATAAATTGCAACAACCCACAACAATATTAATGGGAAATTCAGGGAACGAAACGGATCAACAAATGAGCAAATATCAAAACCTATAAAACCATTTAGTCAGATGAGCGTGAAATTTCTCTGCTTTTTATATACGTATGTATGTAGAGGGTATTCACAATTTAACAGGGGTTTTGTACCGCAAAGAATTCGAAATTCACAAGGAAACAAAGACATTTACATATGGTAGGCATATATTTCGATTCGTGACCGCTAAGAAGAGATCACTATACCATATGGCTGTCAATGCTAAAATTAGGCATTCAAAAGTTATTTTAGGAATCAGGATAGATCTACAAGGCTATTTAAATCGTTGTTCCTCGAACTGAATCTTTTTTTGATGCTTTTTTGTTGTTGTGATCCACTTTAAAGATTGCGAAACAAGGGAATCATGAAAGATGAGGAGTGGAGTGGTCAGTGCAGAATGAAGAATGGCCACAAATTTTGCAACAACTGTGCGGCATTTTATGAGTATGCCACACCCACATATAAACAGAGAGAGTGAGAGCGAGAGAGCGAGAAACCAGTGGCAGGCAGCCATGACACTTTTGGGGCAGCGTTAAATAACATTTAAACAGAGGCCCAGGCCACGTACCAGGGGCGGTACGTGTGTGCACGGGGTCTGGTCTGGACTAGAAGGATGCGATGCGGGCAGGCCAACATGACGCAAGGAGGCCTTGCCAAAGCACAACCAAAACCAGAAACATTGGCTTCAGTTTTTGGCGGTTGTTCCCCTCCTTCTCTGCGACTCTCTGCTGCTCTCCAGTTGCCTTGTCCAGTTGCTGTCCAGCCATGTCCCTGTCCCGGGCTGCTTATGATGGCAGGAATTAAATTTCATTTAATGTGCCGAAACTTTCCGTACACAGAGGCCCCCACACATGTGGCAGTGGCAGTGGCGTCTGTGGCAGAATTTTATGATAACAAAAGCAGGTCAAAGTGGACGCCAAGTGGCAGCCACAGCCACAGCCTCTGCTTCTGCCTGTTGGTCAGCCCTGACTTCTTGCCGCCTGCCCAACTCAACCAAACAAAAAATATGATTATTTTGCGTAATTAACCTAAAATTATATATGTATTTATGTACTGTGTCAGTCGGAGATTTAGCCCGAAGGTCATCCTTGATGGCCATTAAAAATGCTTTAATTATGGCCCAAACAGATGTTGGCCAAAGACAAAAGAAAACTTTTGCTAATGGGAAAACGTTCAGTGCAATGCGGACTTCGGAATTCGAGAGATACGAGGAACGTTCTGGTTTTCATAGGAATTTCGTTGAGCTTTTGGGATATTGAAACCAGGGAAATCAAACTGAATTGAGTTTCTTTGTAGATTCAACTAATGGTATAACTCGTGAAATAGGGACTAACACAGGGAATAATGGAATCTTGTTAATAATCTTCCTGCCGTTTTTCGTTCTCCTTTTCAATAAAATAAAATTCCCATAGTATGGGCTAGAGGAATCATATTAATATTATACGATAACAATCCAATATTGAGGGGGGTAATGGGGGCGTTTCACCCTCAAATACTTACTCATAAACCTCTTAGCAGCCCACTCCAGCCTTCCAGTCGTGGTATTAGGTCCCCATTAAGTGCTTCAGCTTGGTCAGCCCCATGGCCTGCTCCATTTCAGTTGAATTTTTTGCATAAATCCCCGGCAGAAAACAGAGGGAATCTTGGGCCAAGAAACTGCAGCGGCAGGCTCAAACAATAATGCCCGTCGCTCCTCTTCCTTGGGCCAAAACCTGTCTACCACAAAATGGTCCACTTAACGCTTGACTAGGCACAAGGTCGGCCAACAGAATCAACAAAAGCTGCGCTGGAACTGGGCGGACTTTCGATAATTGGAGGGGAAAACCACAGGGCGAGCTCTCCAGGGATCCAGGGATCCAAGGATAAGGGCCAAGAAATTGGCAAGGAACAGCAATCCGCTCTGCTTGGTGCCGCTCAGGTTCGAGGTGGGTTTTTGGGGTCTGGCCACTGCCACTGCCACTTTATCAGCGGGGCAATTGAAGCGTGGGCCAGTGGGTGTGGGCGTGGGGGTGGGGGTGCTTGGTAGAGGGTTATGCCTGGGGCACTAAATTACGTTTAGTGGGTTAATAAAATCCCAAGCACTTTTATGCAAATTGAATTAAATGGAAGCCCAGGCCGGTAGCAGAATCTCTACCAGCAGCATCCGACAGCGGCCGGGAACAGAAAAACATTTAATGCATTATTTATAAAGGATTATCAGGCAGTAGGCAGTAGAAGGAGCCCTGAGCGTCATGCATGGCAGCAGAACAGGAAGTCAACCTCTGCCTAACGAGGACAACTAATTGCCACCGACAGGAGATCTGCCCCCCTGCATCTCTGTTTGTCTTCAGAATTATACATCTCCATTGTTGCTGCCTTTAATTATATGCATTATGAGACGCTCATTAACAAAGCAAACGAAGAAAAGTCGAAGGGTTCGGCTCCGTCGGAGTACTGAATGCCAAAAATGAAACGAAAGCCCCAGCCCAGCATTCTCCGGAAGCAGGGCATATAATTCTATAAAACACCTGTGCATATGTGAGAGTGTATCGTATCTATGTAAGTGCGAGTGGGTGAGTGGGCGAGAGGGCGAGAGAGGATGCGGGTAAATATAATTTAAATTTATAAAGCCACAAGAAATTTGAAGTACAAAGCGGAATGCCTGCTGCATACACTTTACCCAGAAGATTCGATAATACTTTATGGAGAATGGAATGTCATTACTCAGAAGTTACTTTCTTGATTCTTTGGGTGGAAGGATGGAATGAACTAGGAGTACGAAGCCGACGTACTGAAAATAGTATAGAACCTTTAGAGTGGATGACCCATTGGAACTTGAATTTCTCAGGAATTCAATAATTCTGCTTATTGGTTATATCTATCTCCTTTATCCTACAGTACATATATGCAGAGGTTTGTTTGTTTTTGTGCCGTGCACGGGAGACAGCTGAACGGCCGACTGGCCCAACATAATCGGTATACCCTGAGGTGCAGCCCCACAATTAGGCTTCCTGTCGCAATACGCATACATACACACAGTGGGTGCTCGTGTGTGGCCCTGTTTGTGTTTTTGAAGTGAAAGGAAAGTCCTTTTATGCGAACAATTTTTCTTTTTTGTTTCGCATGAAATGAATATATACGAGCCCATATATGCATGACATTTTACATAATTAACTGACAATGGGTTTATGTACACAAACAAACAGACAAATAAACAAACAAACAGACATACATACATACATATATGCATTTCCATATATAAGGACATAACCTTTCCCCCTGGTTCCTGCTCCTGCTCCTGCTTCTGGCTTCTGGCTCCGGGACCCTGTTCCCAGCCTCAATTCTCAAAGGACTTAAGTTAATTATCACATTTTTTACACACAATTTTACTTTACATTGATGCCATGCACAACAAGAACGGCGTGTGGGCTGTGGGACAGCCCGTGGCAGGGGCAGGGGAAGGGGCAGGGCCAGGGTCAGGGAACAGGGGCAGGAGCGGGTGTAGGCCAAGCATTAAAGCGTAATTATGTGTATAATTTGTTGTAATTTGCTGTGAAAAGCTTCACGGTAACGCATGAGATGAACGCATTTAACGAGACCCATGCCCCTTACGCCACCTCCTCCATTGACCCCAACCCCTAGGCTATCAATCCAAACGAAAAAGTTAAATAAACTCATTAATATACGATAATCAGGCCAGACATTAAATGCTAGCTGCTTGCGGATGTAGCTTGCGGTGTGAGGCTATCACAAGTCCCCCCCTGCCCCTAAAGAAGAGTCGGATATGCATGTCAGGGGGGAAACCAACATAAAAGGTTTATTTTGTATTTAAATCGAAATATATGGTACTCAGTGGATGTTATTATTATTTAACCTTGATATTGCCTGGGAAAATTTTGATCCTCCGCGGGAGCCTCACCCTCATCCTCGTCCGACTCACTACGAAGATTTCCATCCTTGTCGCCGAAAATAGATCGCTCAGCGATTTCCAACTGCGTCTGGAGAATGGCTGCTATCGTGTAGGTCCTTGAAATGCGATCCCTGTGTAGGGCCTGCTGCTTGTGCTCATGCTCTTCCGATTCAATCACAGATTTCCACCTGGGTGTAGCTACATAGTCGTATCCCCTCTTGAGTCGAGCTGAAGAATTAGCACGTTCCTGAAGATCCAGTTTGCGCTTGATGTTCTCGGACACGGTGCGGTTCCTGCGCTTGTAACTGGGCTGGAGCAAAAATATTTCCCGTACGATCCTGATAGCATCCGCATACTCGACGCGAAGGAACTCCCAGAATGAGATCTCATCTTTGCGCTGACGATCGCGGACTGCCTTGGCTGCGGTGAAGTAGTTGCTGAGTATCGACACGAACACGTTTACTAGCAGGATGGAGATGGTAAAGGCCATTATAGTGTAGATCACAATGCCAATCAATTCGCCACCGCTGAAGAGATCTTCGGGATCGACATGGCTACTGAAGCCAAAAGTAAAGCACATGATGGTGGCCAACGCGTGCAGCAGGCTCCTAAAGTTCTTTCTGTTGTTGCCGTTGATGCAGACCATAACAATGCCGAATGCCATCATTAAGATGCAGATCACACAGGCCGTGCTGAAGAGAGCACTCCAGGCCAAGGACAGGGTCATCGTAAAGATTTGAAAGATGCTAGCAAACTGCATGACCTTCCACAAACGCAGGGTGACCAGGCAGATGAGGCAGCCCATCGCAATAGTGGCCCAATCGTTTAAGCGCGCCGGTACTCGAAAGTCAATAAAATCATGCGTGCTGGCCACCTCTAACAACGCCAAAAGCTTGGTTGTAATGCCCGACTTCACACCTTTCATGATTAAAACTGACATGCTGAGAAGTAGGATCAGGACATCCACTTTTACCCAAAAGCTCTTAAATCGCTTAGGCTCGAACCACAAGGGCACAATCACTGCCACTCCGAGCTGCAGCAAGACAGCCACATAAGCAATAAACCAAATGAAGATAGTCCATGGAACGGTCTCCGCCGACATCGTCATGGACACAGTATTGATATCCATGCTGCTTCGGATAATGCCGAAAGGCAAGTTCTCACACCGAATACTGCACACACTGAAAAGATCCGCGTCCACATTGTACAGCGTGAAGTCGAAGAAGATAGCTGCGGTCCTGCCGTCGAGCCAATTGTTTTGGAAGAGATATGTGAGCACCTTTATGCTGTCAATCTTCTTATCCCGTAGCGTGACTACGTAGCCTTTCAGCTCGGGATAGGCTGCAAAGAATCCGTACTGTTTGATATTAAGGAATATTTTCTCCCAGAAAGTGTGCTTATCCTCCATCGGCAGCCAAGGTAAATAGATAGACCAGGACTTGTCGGTGTAGGGCTCGTCAAAATAAGACGGGCTCCAGCCGTGGGAATATTCCTTCTCCGTGAATTCCGGATCATTTAAGCCGTATTGTTCTCCGGTGTTCCGTAGCAGCCGCATTCGTACCACGCCAAGCAGCTTAGTGCTATTGGAATTGACCCAGTTCGCATTTAGACTATGGTGATCATCTGATAAGAAGGCATTGACCAGAGTGTGTTCGATGAAGGGATACAGCTGATGTATAAATAGCACGTGACTTAGGCCAATCGTGCTGGTGGTATTATACGTGATCAAGGTTTGGATAGATTTGTAGTTGTAGTACAGGTCGTCGCGGTCCAGCGCCACATTTAAAAACAAATGTATAAGGAAGACCTTTCCGTACACCCAGAGTTCGTGGACAATGGTCCTGTACTTAAGGTTCAGCTTCTCGTTGCGATGTCTCTCCGTGATCATTAGTTGGCTTCGCAAGCTGCGTAGCCGCAGATTTAGATAGTCCATGCGGTTGTGCCTCTTTGCTTGTGCTTCGTCAGGTTTGGCCATTCGCATCCGCGGTGGCCAGCAGGCCAAGTCAATGGCTAATAAAAGAAACCTTAATGGATCGAAAACCAGGAACTGAAAAATCGTCACCAAAATGAACGACACCAATATCGCCTTGAATTTTCTGTCCTCGTGATAAATGCCAGAGAGCTCCCATACTGTTAAGGTGCACGCAATGATTACGAAACTAGTGGCAATAAAGACTACTCGTTCGTTTTTTCCCATTGAACTATTATCGGGCTTAGGCTTTGCTAATCGAAAAATATTTTTTGTTTCTTTTGACTGACGTTAAAAGTTGTTCTGAGTAATAGATTTTCAATAGCTCACTCGATTAAACGGAACACGGGCTTCTATTTCCAATGCTTCAATGATATAAAATTGTTAATTGCTCATTCCCAGAGCAATTGTGGACAGTGTATCCTAAAAACCAACGTTTATTCAAATATATTAATATGTATTCAAAAAAATTGTATACTCCACCAAAAATACTCAAAAGGTCCAGCAATAATTTGTTCTGCTTTCTCGTCGGACCTCTGGCATGTGAACAGCAATCCGTTCTGCCCTCTGCATCACGGAGCTTTCATTGCCTTTACTTTTCACTTCCCCTTCGCCATTTCCGCCACTTTTCCTATTGCCCCAGCCAGTGGAAATCTTTTTCCTTTATGCCAATTGGCAGGTCACACCAATTGAACTTTAATCGCTGCTGACTTTTGTCATTGCTTTATCGTTTAGGCGACAACACAGAAGGGCCCCTTCCTCATCCCCATCCCCATCCCCATCCCCATCCCTATTCCGTTCCCGACTCCCAGATGACTCTCAGCCGCTCGAACGTTGCCAAAAACGCGGTTCAGACGTAATCCCTGAGCGCCACTGGAGTCCGGTCCGGAGCCGGGTCGGGTCGGGTCGCGTTCGGTGCTGTTTGTCTCATTGAATAGACGCCGACCACGCCCCCTTTGGGTCCGCCAGTCCCCGAGCTGTTAGTGTGTGCGTGTTTAACTACGCGTGTTCGAATTTTTATGTTCGTCAGTTAGAAATTTTCGGCCATTTCAGCGAAAATTTATAAAAAAAAGGAAATCGAGAAACAGTGGCCGTTGGAAAGAGAGTGGAAGAGATAGATGGATACAAAGATGGAAAGAGAGGGAAAGAGTGAGAGCCGAGAAAAATGTGTCGTACAAATCTTTGAAATTGCTCCACCGAGAACTATTTTCAATGCGTCGGAATCAATAAATTTTCGGAGCCATTCGCGGCAACGTTTTGTCTGACAATTTGCCGGAATCTCCTAGATTTCCCCCTGGTCCCCTGCTCCTCTAGCTGTCCCATCCTGGCCATTCCAGTGCCCTCCCGTACTCCATCTCCATCGCCATCGCCATCTTTATCCATAGTTTGTGCTGTCGGTAATCGTAATTGCGGGGCTGATAAATATTAATACCAGAGTGCCGATGGATTCTTGGGCCTGAAGATGCTTTTCGGGGCCAAAATGGTTGCCTGCCGCTTCTGCCGTTTGTCTAATGCACGTTTTATGGGGAACTTAGCACGTGTCTACCTCGAACCACCCACTCCACGTCTCCACCCTCCACCCTCCATCCTCCACCTTTGATCCCCAAGAAATATATTAGTTGAAAATATTTTCCGGCTTTTTTTCTTTCTGTTTTTAGTTGCTATTTTTATTTTGCTGCAGCAGCAATGCTGCAGTGACCATAAATTTCAGTGAAAGTCATTAGAAAATAGGCTTAAGAGTCATTCAACGATCTGAATACAAATTCCGTATGTGGAGCATGTGCACCTCTGTTGGGGTGGCAATAGTTGAGAATTGCATTATATAATCCGTCTTTTTAAGAATCAATAAGTGCTATCTTGCATAGGAATCCAAGTTTCTTAGAAGTGGTATATACTTGCAAGCAGTTCCAATTTCTAATGAATAAATAAGTTTACATTTTTGTAGAGTCTCTGGGACTTTAACACAACTAAACAACAGTAATTTCTGAGAATAGCTCGTAAGGTCAATAATAATTTTGTGCCATTCCGAAGCAGAAAAACGAATCCTCAATTTTTATGGGAACATGTAAATCACAGAACTGTATCTTTCAAGGTAGGAAGAGGAGTTGTAGCAATTGCATGATAATGTCTTTCTACAGGACTGTATACCAGTACCAGTATCAGTGCCAGTACGATAAGAAATATGAAAAAATGAATAATCAAAATACAAATTATATTTATTCGGGGAATTATCTTCTGGGAATTTTTCTTTAATAGAGTTACGCACTGATTAAATGACTCATTTACTCATTTAATGTGGATTATGGCAAAAAAAGTTCTTAATCTTATGCAAAATAATAATATGTACTTTCACATAATACGACCAGGGCCATTTGTTTTCACTATTCGACTGTGAAAATCTTAATCGTTTTTAGCTGATGCAATTCAAATGTCAATTGCGTTGAGGCATTACTTAGTTAGTTGTCTGTCATGTGTATGTATAAATTAGATTGAACTGAAATCAGAAACAGCTCAAAACTAGATGAAAGTTCACAGACAAACAGACACGAGTCACAAGCAATCGTGTCAAACAAAATTGTAGAGTATTCAGCGCCGAGTGGTTTCGCTGCTGCCAGTAATTGTACACTTCGGAAGCTGGCAAAGACACAGTTATCGGCTAACGGTCGGGGCTGTCATTAATTAGCCATAAAATTCAGTTTAGTCAATTAGCCACATTGCAAAGCCTCGATACGAGCGTACAATAATGGAGCTTTGACAACAGGCTTACCTTACCCCGTGTCGTCTACGTAATTAGCCCGAACACAAAAATCACCAAAATAAACCCATATATGACAGCAAGAAAACAGGGGAGGCAAGGGGAGAGATAAATAGAGACGTCTGTTGGGAGAAATAGAGATATTTGCAGAAATTCTTTATTTGTCATAAAAACCCAAACAACTTGTGCAAACAACGCGGCGAATAAGCAACATAAAATTATTATCTGCCAGAGGGTCAATAGAGCGAAACAAGGCAAATAATTAGTAGAGCCAAAAGCACACATCACATCCAACATTTGTTGGTTTTTTAGAGCACTTTGAGCCAGCGATAGGAGAGATCTGGTGGGAAAAGTGCTGATGGGGGGAGGTCGGTGCATAAAATATGGAAGCAAAATAAATGGTATTTAATCCTAATATAAATGGAGCGCATTTCCGGCCAAAGGAAAACCGAACAGGCCAAAATAGAGATAGAAAAAACTACCCATTAGTACATCAATGCTTATAGCCCAAGAATTTACTAGTTATTCCAACATTTCGCACCCTTTGATTACTAACCTACGACAGTTAATACAGTATTACATCAGGCCCTTTCCAACGGAATCCCCACAATTTTGTACCGTAGCTTTTGTTAAGTAATGTAATCTCGAAATAATCTACCAATCAATTTTATACTCGTAAGTTTTATTGAAAAGTTCGCATGATTATATGCAATTATCACAATAATTTTCCCATTTCGACCACACGCATCTAACGAGGTGCTCAGAATATAATCTATGAAATATTTTACACTTCACAGCACTGTAAAATCTGCCCAAATTTGTACACAGTTACGCGAACCATGAAAAAAGCCAACCAACCCCTGGCATGGCCTGATCTGGTCACCCCATGATCATCAGGTGGGGGATAATGACTATGTCAGCTGGCAAAGAAATGACAAAAACCTGTCTCGCAGAGGGCGGGCGCAAGGCTATATATAGACCCTAGTGGGGGGTTTGGCTGCTGGACGGATTGACTACCGATAAACCTCGTTCCGCAAAATATCTCGTAATTATCAGGTTGAATGAGAAATGCCCAATTAGTTGGGTTTTTTGTCTTTGTCGCTTTTGCTCGACTTTGTTTCTGTTTCTGTCAGTCGCTAGACCTGTGGCTTGGGGCTTGGGGCGAGTCGATCTCGCGTCGAGTTCGGTGGAAAGTGACGACGACTGTCAGCAGTTAGTCAGCGGCATCGGGGCAGCAACCACTGGACGCAGCTATAGCCGAATAGACGAGCGCGGATTTATCTGTCTTTTAAGTTCTCCGTCTCTAGCTGCCGGTGCGTTAATTCAACTCTGGTCGCGCTGTGAACTGTACGCGCCTTGCAGCTCTCCAATAAAAGTCTCGTCTCAGACAGAAATTAAGCAAAACAACATAAAACAATTATCCAAAATCCTGTATTTTTTTGTTTGTTTGTGCCTGTGTGTGTGCGTAAGTGGAACCAGAAATCTCAAGCTCCTCTTCCGGCTTTGATTTCGATTCAACTTGAGATTTGTATAAAAAGGAATACTCCCTCAAAATGATATTCGGTCGCTGGACGCGTAAGCAAATACTCACCATGTTCGGTCTGGGTGGTGCTGTTGTGGGTGCCATAATTGTAATCGCTGTGCTCAACAGCGGTGTGTCTTCCAAGGAGATGCAGATGCCCTGGCAAGATGCAGCCACATCCCAGTGCCACAAGACGCATCCCAACACAAGCCACTCAACACTGGAACTAGTCCACATTGTCTTCAGACATGGCATTCGCACCCCAGTGGATACGTACCCCAACGATCCCTATTTGAGAGATGGCTTCAAGCCAACGGGCTGGGGACATGTCACCAATGTGAGTAGAATCAACCGACTGCCACATTGTATATTTTGCGATCCAATTAAGATATCTGTTATCTTAGCTGTTTTTATCTTTTAACGTTTAAAGAATTGTGGTCTAAAGAATACCTTCTCTATCTCTCTTTCTTCCAGTCTGGCAAACGTGAGCTCTACGAAATAGGCCGTTGGCTGCATCGTCGCTACAGCGACTTTATGGGACCCTACTATAGACCCGATGTAAGATTTTAGTTTTGTTTGGTTACCAAAATGTAATAGTCTGAATTCTTAGCGTTTGCATGCACAAGCCACAGCCTCACCTCGCGCAATGATGTCCCTCCAGACGACGCTGGCCAGCATGTTTGAGCCCCGGGGAACGGCAATGGAGTGGAACAAGAAACTTAACTGGCAACCCATTCCCATAGTATCGGAGCCTCTAGACCAAGATTCGGTACGATCATCTCCATATAAGTATAGGCTTCCTGTAATTGAATGTATTACTTTTCTGCAGCTTTTGCTGGTTCGAACGCCATGTCCGCGCTATTTTGAGGCCTGGGAAGAGGTATTCAAGCGGCCCGAGGTGATTGCCGAAACGAAGCCGTACGAGCAAATGTTCCGGGAGCTAACTAATCTCACAGGGATGGCGGTGAGGAATGCCGAGGATGTTAACTCCCTTTACATCACACTCCTGGCAGAGCAAGAGTTTGGCTATGAGCTGCCTGCTTGGACCAAGGATTACTTCCCCGATCGCATGCAGTTCCTGGCGGAACAGAGCTACATCTATAATGCCTACACACCGGAGATGCAGAAGATCAAGGGTGGGCCCTTCCTCAAGAGGATGTATAAGGAGATGTCTGAAAAGAGAGATGGCAGTCTGAAGCCCAAGGATCGGGGGATGTACATTTATGCTGGACATGACTGGACTGTGGGCAATATACTATCTGCTTTAGGGGTGTGGAAGCGTCAAATGCCTAGGTTTGCTGTCATGGCTATCTTTGAGACGCACAGAGATAAGGAGACAGGCGAATACTATGTGGAGGTAAGATACAAGAAGAAGGTCTTTAGATCATTTGGATGTGGATCATTTTCTTGTTTCCATTCACAGATCTTTCTCCGCAACGACGAACACGGCTGCCTAGAGCAGTTGAAGCTGCGTGACTGCGATCGTCAGTGCCCCCTGAGTCGCCTCATCGAACTAAGCAGCGAGGTGCTACCCAACGAGCCAATGGAGCAGCGGTGTCGACCACACAGCCCCGATTTTGTGGAACCGCCGCCGCGTCTGATCGATCAGAATGCGGGACGCTAGCAATAATTGGGTACGGGCAATTTTTTGCACTGATGCTGCTCAGTCGCCGTGAACTCAGTATTATAATAGCAGACGAATGAGAGTTGTGTTAAACAGAAAAATAATACAAATAAATTATATAAAAAACCCCCAAAAAATAAAGAGTCAAAAGTTCAGTGAGCTAATTTTTCTTTTTTTTGCCAAATCAGTTTCGTGCGAAACAAATTAAGTCGATTTTTTTTCTTGCTATTGTAGTGGATGATTTTGCTGATTGGATCGCCCGCTCTTCGCTGCTCTTATCTTCGTGTGTTTCAGTGTGTGTGCCTTTGCCAAGTGTATGGGTGAATACATAATCGCGACTTAAAAACCGACCGTAGTTCTATTCATGCAGTCACTCAACTCACAAGCCTCAGCGAAGTCGGTCTACCACATTCTAACGCTGAATCCCAACACAATCCAATCGAAAACAATCCACTATGAAGCTCCTTGGCCTCCTAGTCTTTGTGGGCTATTGGATGATGGCTGTTCGCGGAGCCAGTGTGCCACCCATAGTCGAAGTGCCTGTGGAGGTTCCCGAGGTGGTGCCTCACGAGGAGAACCAAAAATCCAGGAATACAAGCAGTGAAAGCAGCAGCAGCAGCTCCACCCTGAAGCTGGTACATGTGGTAAGATCTGAGTGAAGTGTGAATAGTTATATCAAAAATTAACTGCCACAATTATCCTAATTGAGGACTCGCTTAAAATTTAACAACTAGCCAAGTCAGCAGACCATAAAATTAGACAAAATGTGCTTAACATTAAACGCCATACAGTCACAAAGCCAACGATTAGAGTGTTTGGGTAATACCTATTTTTACGATTATTATTTCCAACTTCAGTTTGTGCTCTTAAGTAAGCCGAACAGAAGTATGGATTTTCCTATGAGAAAAGATCTCTTAACCCACAACGCAAGCAATTCTGCTTGTTGGAAACCGTTCCTAGGCCAGTGCGCGTCGCGACCTGACGTATACTTAATATTGAATTAAGTATGCTGGGGAGAAACCGGTTTAACTGAACAAACTTCAAATTTATGGAGCAACTCATTGTATAATTTGTTTTCCATCAATACCTACAGTACAGTGCCACAGTTTAAATTTATTACGTATTATCATGAGTTATACAAGCCCATATTTATTGTAATTTAAGTTATTAAGAGAATTTTATCTTTATTATATATATAAATTTTTTTATTATTTTTAGTCGGGCGAAGATTTTAATTTGATGTCGAAATTTGCTTAAAATAAATTGCCTTTTAAATTTATTCTGTAACTAAATACGTAGATATTTTTGCAGGCTTAAAGGATCATATTTTAATTGATTTTCTACTATTCTGTATTAGCTCTTTCGCCATGGTCCTCGCACACCTGTCAACACCTATCCCAAAGATCCCTATATCAACGAAACTTACGAGCCCTATGGCTGGGGCCACTTAACCAATGTGAGTATCTAATGGAAACTATTAAAATAATAAAATTTTTAATGTATTTTTGTTTGCAAAAGCCTGCCAAGGTAGAGCTTTATAAGATAGGCAAGCAACTGCGAGGGCGCTATAGAGATTTTCTTGCTCCCTACTATCAGCCCGATGTAAGTGAAATAAACTAATGACAATCAGTTCGTTATAAGAATGAAATCATTTCAGATGATCCGAGCTCAATCATCGGCATCCCCACGTACCATGATGTCCCTGCAAATGGTGCTGGCTGGACTCTTTCCACCCGAAAACACGCCCATGGAGTGGAATCTGATGCTCAACTGGCAGCCCATACCAATCCTTGTAGAGCCTGAGGAAACGGATGTTGTAAGTCGAAATAAACTCGGCATAATGCAGAGAAATAACCTTCAGTTTTTTTTATCAGTGTCTAAGGATGAAGGTCCCGTGTCCCCGCTACGACGAGGCCGTGTTGGAGGTGATGAATAGCCCGGAGGTGAAAGACTTTCATGCCCAAAACTCCCAGATGCTGCAGGAACTGACCGGTCTGACAGGACTCAACGTTACCTATGCCCACGATGTTACCAATGTGTTCATTACGCTGCTATGCGAGCAGACCTATGGGCTGGAGTTGCCTGAATGGACCAAGGAGTACTTTCCCGACAAGATGCTGCCGCTGGCAGCCCAGTCCTACATTTATGACGCCTACACACCTGAGCTGCGGAAGCTGAAGGGCGGCTTCTTTCTAGATCACATATTCGAGCAGATGCAGGCGAAAATCTCCGGAAAATTGGAGCCCTCCGATCGCAGAATGTACATCTTCTGCGGTCACGATTGGACCATTACAAACGTTCTATCTGCACTGGGTGTGTGGCAGCCGCAGATGCCACGATTCTCTGCCCTCATCGCCTTCGAGCTACGCCAGCGGGACGATACGGGGGAGTATTTCGTGGAGGTTTTCTTCCAAAACGATCCCGACCAGGAGCCCGAGCAGCTGCAGATTCCGGGCTGCGATAAACAGTGTCCCATTGAGAAGTTGCTGGAGCTCATGGAGCCCGTTCTACCAGACGGCTCCTACGAGCAGCTGTGCCTGGCCAAAGGCTCCGGTGATGGTGCAAAGATCAGCTATCACAAATGATTGATATGTTGAACGATGATACAAATATTGTGCAGTATTAAGATTATATAAAGTATATTTTACCTTTACAACTTTAATTGATTCATTGATTGATTGACACGATGAATCATACCTATTTTGTGATCCGGATTGATATGTTTAGAAATAGTAGAGATTACCTCGGGTATGCGTGTATGTTGATCTCTCGTTATCGACTGGGAGATTGATAAGTTATAAAATATATAGGTATATGTTCTATCTAGTCTAGAGGAAGCTGTTTTTAGGGAAGAATTTGAAGAGCACCCCATAGAAAATACCCCACCATGCACATCATTTGATCTAGACGATGATGGCGTAACCGATTTTCAAGGGCATACTTTTGGGCTATCGTTAATAGATAATTATGCTAAACTAAATATTACTCTATACAACGCATAATACTGAAGATTTGACCAAAGAAGTGCTTAACATTTCCAATCCCCTTGCATCTTTTGTTACATTTCGATCAACCTTCTCTCATTCTCATCGTATAAAACGTTTGCTATCGCATTGAAAGTCAAACAGTTGGCATTTGGTGCTTCACGTATTCCACTCAATCGAATCGGAATTACGGGTTTACAACGGCAACCGCATGAAAAAATCCGAAACAAAAGGGCGGACAGAATATCAGTTTTTAAAATACACCTTTTACGTAAACTTCCGGACTATGACGGAACCGTAAACCAGCAAAAAAAAAAAGCCAAGCCCCAGAAAAAAAAGAAGATATAATTGAAATTCGGCAATTAAAGACAAGTATTGTTTCTGTTTCGTTTGTGTAATTAAGATAAGGTTCGATTTGGATTCAGGTTGGTTGGTGAAAGATTTATTACCCGAGTGTTTTAGTACGCGATTTTGGTGACGAATTCGTTTGCTTCGAGAGTACTTCGAGAATACCCGTAAAGCAGGGAAGAGTCGAGTTCATATAAATTAAAAGTAGCCCGCGCGATTTAAAACGCCTCAAACGCAACGGCATTGTTGTCGGGGTCTCTCTGAGCTTCTGCTCTGTTTCTGCTCGTTCGGTCAACCCCGCCAGCTAGCCCACACACAAACACACAAACACACAAAAGCACAAAAGACACTACAATGGCAATAAAAAGAATAAAAACTAACACTATAGGAAAAAATTGAATAATAGTAATAAAAATAAAAAAAAAAAAAACAAGCGACGACGGTGACGGTGACGACAGCATTTGGCGATAATGAAACGATAAAAGACCTATGAACATATGCTTTTGGGCTCCGACATTAGAAGTGATACAGCCCCACAGTATTGTTGTAGATAGTGCATCGGTCAGACATTACCACAGTCGCATGCAAAGACCTCAGCTGCAAAAGCGAAGAGTCGAAAATTGAAAATTGAAATTCTTTTAAAAGTTGGCCCAAGGCAAACAAATGATAGCAGCACGACTAGAGCACGAGCACGAGCACGGAGCAACGAATGTAATCAATTGATTCTGCATGGAGAGTGGGACAAAACCAGTTTGAATTTTGTAAATTAGCTAGTTTCGTGGTCGTGTTTATGGGTAGAATAATTAAAAACCCCGAAAAAACAAAGCAAACAGCAAAAGGAACACGTTAGTCGGTGATCTGTCGCGAGTGTGTGGCTGTGGACCGGGCAAGCTCTGAACCCGAAACGCAAGCGGAATCCGAGCGCCGTCCCAACTTCTATAAAGAGCGTCTGTCAAAATGCCGCGTTCGCATTTCACTCGAAGGCATTGTCTAGCGATGACGGGCGGATTAATTGCAACGGGGCTGCTGATCTGGTGTCTGGCACACTCCACGGTCGTATCGGTAAAGCTTCACGACCCCGCCGCTGATAAATCTACGCTCGAGCTGCTGCATGTGGTAAGTCGTAAGCATCTCGTGTGCATTCAAACCAACACAAAGCCTTGAAAACAGCTGTGGGGAAGAGCTTTCAATTATTCAACTGAACTGTTGGAAAAGGCGGGAGCTTTTGAGCGGTAGTCAAAAAATGTAAGTTTTCTAGAGAAAATTTAGGTGTGAACATTAAAGATCTGGCAACATCCAGTACTAAGGTAAAGATCAGTTCAAGAAAGAAATAAACATCGCTACGATCACAAGAAAAACACGGCTAACAAGTAAACATCTTTATGATCGTAATGTACAAAAAGCCCCATAATCATAAGCTGTAGCTCAAATTATTGCAGATTTTTTTTTTTTTTTTTTTCATTGCCAAAAATTGCTGATAATACGAATTACGAGTATTTCCCTCCAAAACCTTTTGTTTTGTTTAGCATTGAGATTCGGCGGCATTGAAATTTGCGTAGGTAGGCCATATAAAAGATTATTACGTTGATAATGCATTTGTTTATAAAGATGTGGGCCCAGCAAAGCATCAACAGTCGCTAGTTTGTTGCGGCAGGGTGTAAAAGTAGAATTACTTGATGAAATTTTATGAATCTAATAGGTTCTCGCTAGTGGTAGATAAGAGTCAAGTACTGCGAGTGGAGCTATCATTGTGAGTCAATGACTAACAATCAATAGTAGGGAAAGTGAAGGTGTACGATAAAGCCATGGCTGTTGGATCAGCTGGAATAACCCAAATAGCCGCGAAAGTGCTTTATCAGCTGTTCTTTGAGCACTGCCACTGTGTTGAATAAAACTGTATGTAATTATTATCAATTACACTTCATTTTCACACTCAAGTGCACCCAAGCGGATAGTTCGACGGAAATTATTTCTCAAGCTGAAACTCATTTTCCATTTTCTGGGAATGTCAGTTCAAAGTGGGTTAGATTTATACTAAATATATATACTGGGAAAAGACAGATATTGTTATTGGAAATTATATGTTATTAGAGTTTAGCTAGAAACATTTGATTAGAAACCCAATTCCAGCAAATTCGGCTCTAACAAAAAGTATATGTATTTGAATTTGCGACTCAATTAGAACCTTGTTGGTATGTTTAAAAAAAACTGGAAAAAACCTGTTTTAAAATCACTAATTAATCCCGCAAAAACACACGAACTCTTCCATAATAACTTTTACTTTAATTTATTTAATGATAAATCACCGAAAAACAACCAAGCGCAAATCAAATCAAAACAAAAATCCGCTAAACCGAAAAACCGGCTGAACAGATTACAGTACGCACAAAAAACCAGTCTCCAAACAAAAAAAGAAATCAAACTGCGACGCACTTTTGATTTTTGTTTGGCGACTTTGATGAACTGGAAACCCATTTGGCAGAGCTCGTGGTTGACCTTCGGGCGATACGAACTCTTATCAGCCGCAGAGATACGAGTAGCAGCAACTGCTATTAAAATAGATGCGGAAAATACTTCCGACACTCTGGAATCAGCTGGGGGATGGCACATGCTCGGCACATGTCCGATTGGTCCACTGGACCGCTTTCCGCGTCATTCCCTATGTCTTATCGGAATCGCGTCCGAATGCGAGTGAGCCTTAAAGCAGGGAGGGCTAATTAAAGTGGCTTTTTCTCTGGGAAAAAAAGGGAGGGTAGGGTGGTATCTAGGTGGTAACTCTGTTTGACTAATAAAAATCGTAATTGCTAAACTTCAGGTATTCCGACATGGACCACGAACGCCGGCGGATACGTATCCAAGGGATCCGTATGTAAATGAGACCTACTATCCGTACGGCTGGGGACAAATAACAAATGTGAGTGGAGAAAAAGTTGTGCTGCAAAAACTTTTGCACCATCATTCTACCCCTATAGCCGCCGCCCCACCCCCAACCTAGAACTGAGAGCCACCCAACCAGCAAAGCATTTAAATAAATTGAAATGCAAATGTTTTCCAGGAATGTTGGGGGAAGGACTTGGTTTTGGGTTGGGGGCTGTGGCTGGGCTGCATTAACATATACACATGCATATGTTTATGCAATTGCAAAAATGCAAGGCATTTATTATTTTATAACACTTCTCTCCATCTCTGTCTCTGTCTCGGTTTCGGTCTCGGTCCCGGTTGCTGTCTCCGTCTGCTCCATGCCTGCTGCCGCTGCTGCTGCTTGGACTCTTTCTGGTGCTCCGCCGTTCCTCTGGTGTTGTCTCACGTGCCATCCGCTCATGCCATGCAATAAATCAACGCTCCAGAATGGCAAACGCGAGCTGTTCAACATTGGTACTTGGCTGCGTAAGCGTTATGGCAAATTTCTGGCGCCCCACTACAGTCCCGATGTGAGTAAGCAGTCACTAACGAACCGACATGCCCATGCACCCACCCCCACCGCATCCATGGCCACGTCCAATGGAGGGGGGTGTGGGTTGTCTGATAGTGCGGACGTTTACAAATTGCAAAGCTCAAGCGCGCTCGGCTCATCACTCAATTTCTTCTTCTCCTTCTTTTCGTTCTCGCTGCTATTCGTTCTCTTTTCCTTTGCGATTCTGTTCTTCCCATGCAGCTGGTGCACGCACAGGCGACGGGAGTGCCGCGCACCCACATGACCATGCAGACGGTTCTGGCCAGCTTCCTGCCCCCGAAGGGCACTGACATGGAGTGGAATAGCAAGTTTAATTGGCAGCCCATACCTGTCTTCTCGCAGGAGCTCAATGAGGACACGGTGCGTATACTTCATAAACTATAATGATTAATTGTACAGCCAGATTCGCATTGAGTGGTATTTCATTAGGTTCAGAATGATTTAGCTTGCACTCAATTATTTTCAACTTAGTTGGAATACCCGCTTTGAATTATGATTGATCCAACCCCATTTTTCAATTCAATGGAATTATTTATAATCGCCCACACAGCTTCTGCTCGTTCGAACGCCTTGTCCCCGATATTTCGAGGCTCTGAACGAGGTCTATGACCTGCCAGAGGTCAAGCAGGAAGTGGCACCCTATCTGGATATGTACAAGGAGCTGGAGTCGCATACAGGTCTCAGTTTTAAGGAGCCTGAGGATGTCCAATCCCTGTATCTGACGCTGCTGGCCGAACAGGAATGGGGTCTGATGCTGCCCGAGTGGACTAACGCGTATTTCCCAGAGAAACTTCAGTTCCTCGCCGAGCAGAGCTATGTGTACAATGTGTATACACCCGAGATGCAGAAGATCAAGGGCGGGCCCTTCCTCAAGAAGATGTTCGGTGAAATGCAGCAGAAACGGAATGAGACCCTCAAGCCGAGTGGCCGAAAGATGTTTATCTACACAGGCCACGACTCGACGGTGGTGAACATCCTGTCCGCCCTGAAGATTTGGGAGCGTCAGCTGCCCCGCTACTCGTCAATGGCTATCTTCGAGCTGCACAAGAGCAAGGAGACCGGCGAGTACTGGGTGGAGATCTATTTCCGCAACGATCCCAAAGCGCAGGCCCAGAAGCTGACCGTGCCCGGCTGCGAGTTCAAATGTCCGCTGGACAAGTTGCAGCAGTTGGCCAGGGATGTGGTGCCCACGGAGCTGGATGACAATCGGTGCGAGTCCCGCAACGAGGCATTCACGGAGCCCCCGCTGCGAGGGCCGTAGAGGGAGTGAGAATAGTTGAAAGAATTACAGGTGCTACACATCTCAGGAAGTAGGACATGGACATGCCAGTCCTGCCAATAAGCCTCAAATAACTACCTAAGTTAGTCGGTTAGCCTAGTTCTAATAATGTGTTAAGGTACAGAGTTCAGGTTTTTGTTTTTTTTTTGGTTAATACATAATAATAATTTAAGTATTACAAAATATATACTTTAACAAACTTTTTTTTTGTGCTCCAATCTGGCAATTTTACAAAAACAACTAATTAAAAAAAAAACACAAATTTTTAATATTTAAATATTTATTCCATTAGATTGGATGTTTTGGCCCAGCTTCGAGTAATATTCGATCTGTTCGACCAGCACTACATGGGAAAATTGTTTGAGGAGGGCCTGATCGAAACAGGATTTGAAGTCGTCGCCAGGCTGATGGTTGGGAAATTTTTGAGAACCAGCTGGTAGCAGCTTCTGTTTGAGCGGGGCACTGCATTGACAATGTGTTTGGTCATGTCTATAGGGATTTCTATGCCTATTGCCGTGATTGAGGGGAAATCGATTTTGAAATAATCGTAGTAAGTCCGAATTTGTCGTGCTGTAGTCGGAACAAGTCTTCTGACTGTTATACTAAATTTGAGCATGTACTCGTATAGACGTTGCGAAGCCGCTGGAACATGCTCGGCTCTACATCGGAATGTCTATAGAGAACCAAGAGTTCATCGAAATTCTCGTCCGGCCAAATGATACCGTCTGTCTTAAACTGAAGGAAAGGGACAGTAGCTCCTTTAAGAAGAACAGACAGCCCGAAAAAAGCAGGCAAATTGATGAGGATTTTCATTACTGAAACGTGAGGATTGCTTTTACCTAAAGAATGTTTATTATAGAGCTTCCAGTCAAGCCTGAGGCCTTGATTTTGTTTCGGTTATTACACGCGATTGTGCCAAATTTAATTGTAAAATAATTTGATCCAGTGAACGGAAAAAAATTCTAAATTTGTCAGTCCAGCCTGCCGCAAAATTCTTCGCATTATTGGTTGGCTTGGTTTCTATATTTCCACAAACCTTAGTGCTGGTTTATAAACATATGTATGTAGACACATAATATATTCATTACAGTTCATTGTATCCGTAGTCGCTCAAGTTCTGCGTGTCGTAGATATTTTTCAGATATTTTAACACTTCAGACTGATTCCACTTCTCATTTTTGCAGGAGGGGCAATCCTTCTTCCTGGGGAACTGAATCTTCGGGAACATGGGATCCTCTGTGGTATCGCCAGCCAAACGGTTGTTGACCTCGTTGTGCGCCTCCCACAGCCAGAGGATCTCAGAATCATGGTCCGTCACCGACTCGATGTGTCTGCGCGCTGCCATAGCCAGGAAATGCTGGGCACAGTCCGTACAGCCGAAAAAGTGCTTGGCAAAGCCGTGCATGGCCGAGAGCACTGATCCAGCCGCAAGGTAATTTGGTGGCTTTGCCGCCGCGACTGTGAGGTAGTGGAATAGCGTCCACAAGGAGCAAGTGAAGCCGCGCAGGAAGGGACGCGAGGCCGTGCAGCCAACAAAACGCTTCGCCTTGAATACATCCTCCTCCAGCTCCTTCTCCTTCGACTTGACCAAGTCCGCGAACTCACCTCCCGTCAATCGCTTTTGGGTTATCAGGGAATCGTGTATGCCTGTTAGCAGCAGCTTTCCTTCCTTATTCAGGGGATTGTGGTGTCTTAGGACGGAGATAATGTTTCGCAGTGCTGTCAAATTATTGCCCTCAATGAGGCCTGCCTTTGGCAGCTCAATGTGCAGCAGTATGTCGATTGCCTGCTCCACATCGGCTTTATAGATCATATGTGGATTCCGTAGCACAGTCGATAGTATTTGCTGCTTCTCCTTGTACCGGATCCTGCTGATGTGTGGTGCTCTGGTCGTGGATAAGGGGGGCAACGGAGTGCGGCCCATTTGGGCGAGATACTCGGCAATGCCGGCCGCATAAGCTTGGCTCGATTCTTGGACGGTCTTCAGCGCATGGATGTTGCCGGCCAGGTCCATGATGGCCAACTTCTGATCGTGAGGAGCCAAGCCGAGGTTGGAAAAGATACGAGAATCGTCAACAATGCGAACAGCCACCGCAGGATATGGTAGCAGTTCGAGGATCGTGTCTCTGCCGATGTTCGAGCCCTTCGGCTGTAGGACAAGTGCTATATACTCCTCGGTATGGCCAGGGCCCTTGTGATCTGCGAGTGTAGTATTAACATTGTTGTCGGGCGTAAGAGGCTCAAAGCGCAGCAGGCTCGTATTGATGTCTTTGGCCAAATGCCCGGCCAACAGGTCGATAATTTTTGTCGGACTAAGAGTGGGGATGTTGATGCCAATCCCGCCTCCAGAGAATGCTGGGGGAAAGTAGCGTAGTGTTGGGGTCTGAAGGATCTGAAAGTCGCGACAGACCTCCACATTTCTCGCCTGGGCACAGTCGACGGCGTAAATGCTGAGCACTCTCTTCCATTTGTACAGTTCTCGTGCCACAGCCTTGAAGATGGGTGCGAAGCGTCGGCAGTGGCCACAGAATATGTTTAAAAACTGCACCAGCTTGCCGTTTGGCGTCGTCCGCAGATAAGGCAGCAATGTATCGGTGTCGGCATTGATCACATTGTCAGCCTCGTTGTAGAGACTTGGCTCACCTGCCAGAGCATTGGCCTTGGGCGTGGCCAAGATCAGGAGCCAGATGATAACTGGCAATGTTTCAATCATCTTGAGTGGCCGAATCATTTCCAGACGATGCGGACGTGTCCACTTGGCTATTACTAATGGTGTACCCCGCCCAGGGTGTTGATTCGCGCTGCGGATTGAGCGGAACAAATCAAATCATGATGGGTAGAGTAATTGAAGACAGTTCAATGAGTTGACTCGTCGTGTGAAATAGATCTACTTCTTCAAGTGGTCACTAGATTACCCATTGAATCTTGAGCCGAAATCTTGCGAAATTCATTAGAAACTAATTTAAAATGACACTTCAATAAGAAAAGAAAGCTGGCCAGAGAGTCGAACATGTATTGAAAACACCTTTTGCTATACAAATATGTTGTACAACAAAAAGTTAGGAACTATAATCTCAAAAATATCCCAAAAAATTCACTAAATAAATATGCAATGAACATAAGCCACATTCTGGTTGCAAATTTTTTCCAAACATCTCTGGGTATACAGGGTACATAGGGTATTCTCTGCTTTGCCATGCCACACTTCCCCGATAATACCGATTATAGAATGTGCAGAACCAATCCCTGGAATTTTCATATAATATTACGGTATTACGGAACCAATTTCCATTTCTATGGGTATTACGAATTAGGATTGGTAAATTTTTTTTTGGATTTTCCATTATCCGCATCATCATCTGTGGCTGTGGCTGTGTCTATGACTATGGATCCCAGCTTGCACCCAGTGCGCCTCATGTGGTAGCCAAGTTGGCTCATTTCCGCTTTGTGGCGTCGCCTGCCGCCTGTCGACTGTCGCCTGTCATTGCCATTGCCCAATAGGCCGCTTCCGTTTGCCCTTTGCCAGCAGCAGCAGCAGCAGCAAACGCAAACGCAAACAACTTCCGCACTTGTTTAGCCAGCCATCCCGTCGGATGGTGGCTCCCTCTCCTTCTCCTTGTCCGTCTCCTCTTCCTCTGCATACTCCGTTGCCTTGTCTTGCTCATTTTTGCCAGGAGGTGACATTTTTCGCATTGCGGTTTACCATAAACTATTTCATTGGGGAGTTGTTCCAGCTCCTACGTTAGCTCCAGTTCCACCTCCAGTCCCCAATCTCCAGCATCTGCTCGGCATTGTTTGCTCGTGTGCGTTTGCCATCTCTCCTTCTCCATTTCCATCTCCATCTGAGAGTCGCACTCTCTCGGATAGTCGGTTTTTTCCCTGTTTGCATATCTGTAAACTTTATTTGTCAACGGGACGCATATGTTGTGTGTGTTGCCAAAAAATAAACGAATCCCCATGTATTCCGAGCACTCCCCATTGCATTCAGTTCTTGTGTGTTGGTTGTTCCGTTTAATTTTCGCTTAATTTGATTTGCTGGCTGCAGGAAGTGCCATGAGGAAGTGGCAGTGGGTGGCTGACATATCTATAAGACCATGAGCTATACGAACTTGTTCTACTTCAATGATTAATGAGAGAGAGAGAGAGGTGGAGAGGGGAAATCGGGCAGGGTGTTGCCGGAATTAAGTATGCGCCATGTGTGTTTGCATGGGATTTTGACAGGAACTTTAAGATGATTAAGATGGTAATACAGATAACAATAGTTTCAGTATATTTCCTTAAACAACATGACTTTAACAATACTTTTAAACATCTTCTGTCAACCCTTACAGATCTGCAACCATCCGTGCACTCTTTTCCCTAATTCAATCATAAATAACTCAACTCTCATCTTCTGGGGACTTCATATTCATAAATTTGATCTTTTCTCTTGCTTCCCAGACTATCATAATTATTAACCCTATTATGCAGTTACTTATGCCAGTCATCCGTCTTTCCCTCTTTCTCACTCTCTTTTTGCCTTAGACATATGCCCATGCTGAGGCCAACAAATCTACTTAGAGCTGGAGCTGGAGCTGGAGCTGAAACCTCGACTCAGTCACAAAACTTTGGATGGAAAGAGCAAACTTTTGTGCGGGCTAAGTGCAAGTCTTAGGGTAAACTTTAGCATTTTTTTACTCCTCCTGCTGGAGGACGATTGCGACTAAGACGTAAGACACTAGAGCCTTGGCTGCCCGGTTGCCGATGCCGTTGCAGTTGCCTGGTGGTCTGCTGCAGCCGGACAGTAGAAGTTTCCCTCTTGGAGGTTGCACTTTTCTCTAGCTCACATCTTTCTGTGGTCAGCTTACTAACGACTTTTCGATACGGACCGAAGGCCGAAAAACTTTTGCGCTTGGCCTAGAAGATAAAATTTGCCGATTGTCGGCAGGAGCCGCACCTGTTCCCTGGGCTAATCCTGGGCATAGCGAGTAGGATTGCGGGAGGGTCTACTGGCATGCATATTAATAAGCAGCACAAATGTTTGCCGGCAAACAAAATGCATGGATGAGGATGGGGCCGGTGCTCTGGAGCGCTGCCGTGTAGTTCCAGTCTATTAAAAGGCACAATAGATCCCGCCGCGTGCCCCTTGGAAAGCGCTCTTGCCTCAGCC